GGAAAAAAATATTTAAACCGGTACTGGAACTGGTGCCGGTAACGAAATTTGGGCACTGGAACCGGTACCGAATGGGGCGGTACAGGTACCGGTTTCCGGAACCGGTGGTCTGTCCCAGTCGACAGTGACGGTGCTCGGTACCGGCGGTTATATGGTACGGCCAAATCTACCTTCGGCAAATTTGTATTTAAAAAAATATTTCATAATTAAAATTATGTCATTTTAAAATGAACACTACGTTATTTCAAAATGAACATATTTCAAAATAAACACTACGTTATTTCAAAATAAACACTCTACAGAGCAGGCTTGAAAATGAACATTATGATAGAAAAAATTCACTAAATTCAAAATGAACATTCTGTTAAATTGCATGTCTTCTTTTCTTTTTCGTCCCACAATAAGTTGCATGTTCTTATTATCATAAACTTTTAAGAGTAAAATACCTAAATTACCCCTATATAAGTCATTCTTCTTCACCTTATCTTCTGATTGATCATCACCTCTCCTAAAAAGTACAGTAATGACAATTTTGGAAAGTCGACTCTATTTTTTATCTTCCTTAGATATACCCTAAAGTCAAAATAGGCGATTCAAAACGGACGGAGGGAGTAGAAAATTGAAAAATGATAGAGAAAGGAAATGAAATTTTGTTTACATACAAACAATCAAGAAAAGAAATCCAGCGAGACCGTACAAAAAAAATCCAGCGTGGGGTACAAAAAAAACCAGCCATTTGAACAACGGAAAGCTATTTGTACCCCATGTTTTATACCTCACTTTGTACCCGTAGCTTTGCACCAATACTTTATGTTGATGTAAAACTAATTATTGTTAATGCACCAACACTTTGTGTCCGTGTAAATTTTTGTTAACGCACCAACACTTGTGTCGGTGTAAATCATCAAAATGTTTGTGTATGACTATGATGTACAAATGGGGTTCAATTTGTGGTGTAAGTGTAGCATAACCCTTTGAACAATCAGGCCTCCTACGATCAACCCATTGGCAAAGCAAACAAGTGGTGGCCGATCATTTCTCCTTGAAATGCAGCGGCAACAGTGGCAGCGACGGCTGTGATGGCGGTGGTGGTAGTCATTTGGAAATATAAGGCCAATTTTGTTATTCACTTGGCCAAAAACGGCTTAAAAATAAGAACAAAAAAAACTTCTTATTTTTGGATTTCTACTTTAGCACTCTCTCTATTTCTTAAAACCCTGTCTCTTTAATTTTTTTGTTTTTCTTAAAACACTTCTTTTTTCTATTAAAAAATCACTTTTACCCCTACTTTTTCATACCCTACCTATCACATCATACTTTTTTTCTAATAACTAAACTATCACATCTTACTTTACCCATCACATCAGGGGCAAAATTAGAAAGTCAACTAAAATTTCACTTTTCTTATTTTGCCCCAAAGTAAAAACAAGAACCGTTTTAGGAAACGGAGGGAGTAATAAATAAATTAGAAATTGGTTTATATTGAAAAAAGAAAAAAATGTTGTGCGTAATAAGAAAATAAGATAGCATAAACTTTATTTTGACACATTAAAAGAAGTCTTACCTTTATTTAGAGATAAAAGTACTTCTCAATACCTATCTTATCCTATCCTACTCTTTACAAAAGCAAAAGGAAAAATATTCCCACTTAAAAGCTTGACGGTTGTGCACATCGTATTGGGCCGAGCCGTGTTTTGCGCACTTGCCTCCGGGCTTCAACCTGATACCAATTAACAGAGATTGATATCAACTACTGAGATTCTAGGAAAAGAAGAAGCTTTTCGAAGAATTATAAGGCAGATTCAGGGAGATTTCCGAGATATCAAACCAGAGAGAAAATGGGGAAGAAGAAGTTTGTTATCATTCATCACACAGATACAAGGCATCATCTCTGTTCTTATATACAGATTGGGCACACAAGAAAAGGATTAACAGAAATGCAACAAAAGGCAACAGGATGCCAGCTCAGCTCCAGCTCACTATGGCCTTGTATCAATACTCCCTTCTTCAGCACAGACTTGAGGACAAGTCTGAAAGGATGGGAAGCGGTGTTGGAGTTCTGTGAGATACTCCCAGGTAGCAGTGTCAGAACCCAACCCTGACCACTCCACTTGGACTTAAACCACAGCCTTATTTCCTCGTTTGACCAGTCGCCTTCCCAAAATTTTAGTAGGCATAGGGCAGTTTGGACTAGAGAGGTGAAGGACTAGTGGATGAGTAATCTTCTCCGAAACTGCATGACATTTCTTCAGTTGTGAAACATGAAAAGTGTTGTGTATCACAGCATTGGATGGTAATAGCAGTCGGTAAGCTACAGCTCCCACCTTGGCATCCACTAGGTAAGGACCATAGTACTTAGCTGCCAACTTGTTGAAAGGTCTTTCAGCGATTGAAAACTGCCTGTAGGGTTGGAGTTTAAGATAGACCCAATCTCCCACTTCAAACACCCTTTCTGTTCTGTGGTTGTCTGCCAAGTCCTTCATCCTTTTTAGTGCTCGATGGATATGGTATTTCAGGAGTTGAATGATAGCTTCCCTGGCAGCTAGGGATCTATCCACCATCTCTACATCAGATTCGCCAGCTAAATATGGGAGATGAAGTGGCGGTCTCTGGCCATACAACACCTCATATGGGGTACATTTGAGAGTAGTATGATAAGTGGTGTTATACCACCATTCTGCAAGAGGTAAATATGCAGCCCAAGTCTTAGGATTATCCGAGCAAAAACATCTCAAATATGTCTCCAATGTCCTGTTTAACACCTCAGTTTGACCATCTGTTTGAAGATGATAGGCTGTAGATCTTTGCAGCTGGAGCGAAAAACTCTTGCCAAAATGTACTAAGGAAGATAGGATCACGATCACTTGTTATTGTGGCTGGAAAGCCATGTAATTTATAGACATTGTCCAGGAAGCATTGTGCCACTGATTGGGCTGTATATGGATACTGCAAGCTCATGAAATGCCCATATTTGCTGAGCTTGTCCACCACAACCAATATGACCTCTTTTTCTTGGACCTTAGGCAGACCCTCAATGAAATCCATGGAAATGTCAGTCCACACCCCTTCAGGAATAGGTAAAGGTTGCAATAACCCAGGATAGGCTGCAACATCATACTTATGTCTCTGGAAGGTGTCACACCTCTTAATAAAATCTCTAACATCTTGAGTAAGATTGTTCCAGTAAAAGAGAGACTGCAACCTTTTTATGGTAACATCCATTCCTGAGTGTCCCCCCTGGGGAGTGTTGTGCCAGAGTGATATGAGTCTTTCCTTCAGCTGTGAATTATTACCAATCACCAATCTTCCTTTCCACCTCAGTTGCCCATTAATCCAAGTGAAATGCTTATATGGCTGGTGTTGCAGCTTGGACACTACTTCGCGCAAGTTAGCATCTTCCTGCCATGACTCTTTGATCTGACCCAACAACTGTATATCTTGATTTAAGAGTGAAATAGCTAGGAGTTCAGCAGTTGGGTTTCTAGAGAGAGCATCTGCTACCTTATTTTCAGCCCCGTTCTTATATTCGATGGTGAAGTCACAAGCCATTAATTTTGTGATTCCAACCACTTGAAAATCTGTATGAATGCTTTGATCTAATAAGTGTCTCAAAGCCTTCTGGTCAGTCCTTACCACAAATGGTTTTCCCATTAAGTAATGAGACCATTTGGTAACAGCAAATATAAAGGCTAGTAATTCTCTATCATATACTAACATAGCTTGGTGTTTGGGTGAAAGAGATTTACTAATATAGGCTATAGGGTGTCCCTCCTGCATTAAAACTGCCCCAATGCCCTTGCCACTTGCATCAGTTTCAATTATGAAGGTCTTAGAGTAGTTTGGCATAGCCAGAACTAGTGGACTCACCAAAGCCTGCTTGAGCTTATTAAAAGCTGCAGTTGCTTCCTCTGTCCAATGAAAGGCATCCTTTTTCAGAAGGTTATGAAGAGGTCTGCAAATATTTCCAAAGCCTTGGATGAACCTTCTGTAATAACCTGCCAATCCCAAGAATCCCCTCAACTGTTTGATACTACTAGGGATAGGCCATTGTTGAATGGCTAATAATTTTTTGGGATCAGTAGATACCCCGGCTGCACTTATGTAGTGCCCAAGATACTCCACTTTAGACACTCCAAAAGCACACTTGGCCATCTTAGCATAGAGTTGAGCTCCTTTCATTAATTGTAAGACCACCCTCACATGTTCCATATGGTCATTCAAACTTTTCCTGTAGATTAAAATGTCATCAAAAAAGATAAGTACAAATTTTCTAAGTACTGGCCTGAACACTGAGTTCATAAGTGCTTGAAACGATGACGGAGCATTAGTTAGCCCAAAGGGCATCACTAGAAACTCATAGTGACCTTCATGTGTTTTGAAAGCAGTCTTGTGAACATCCTCTTCTTGCATCCTCAATTGATGATACCCTGCCCTAAGGTCGATTTTGGAAAAGATAACTGAACCTTCCAACTCATCCAGTAAGTCTTCTATTATTGGAATAGGAAGCTTATCCTTGATTGTTTGTTGGTTCAACTCCTAGTAGTCCACACATAACCTCCAACTTCCATCTTTTTTACCAACCAAAACAACCGGGGAAGCATATGGACTGCAGCTGTGTTGTATCACCCCTTGGTCTAACATTTCCTGAACCTACCTCTCAATAATGTCCTTCTTTAACCCTAGGTATCTGTAGGGCCTTTTATTTATAGGATTGGCAGACTCCTTTAAGGGTATCCTATGATCAAAAGGTCCTCTTTCAGGTGGTAAACTCTTAGGCACTTCAAATATGCTGTCAAATTCTTCAATTAGCTTAGCCAGATCAGGATGTGTGATGTGATCCCTTTCCGTTTGTATGTGGTAACATGATAAATCAGTATCTTCTTTTGTAGCTACTGTCATCATAAAGAGTTGGGCTTTGTCATTGCATTCCTTCTCCATAGTTCTCATTTTCGTAGTTTTTAACTGACTGTTAGCCCCTCTCAAAACATGCTTCTTCCCCTTAAATTTGAACTCAATTATTCTGTTTCTAAAGTCAAACAGAATCCTTCCCAAGGTATTTAACCATTGTACTCCTAAAACAACATCCACACTTCCCAATGGTAAGAGTAAGAAGTCAGATTCAAACATAGTACCTTGTAACAACCATTGTACATTCTTACAGATGGAAGCTGTTTGGACCTTCCTGCCGTCTGCCACACTGATTGATTGTTCCATAATTTGGACAGTATCACAATTCAACTTCTTAGCTATGGCTTGATCCATAAAGTTGTGAGTGCTACCAGTATCAATCAAAATCTACAAGGGCTGCTTCTCATGATAACCAGTCACCCTTATTGTTTGATAACCAGTCACTCCCATTAATGCTTGTAATGAAATTGTCATGAGCTCTTCCAATTCCAAGGAACTATCTGAATCACAGCTAGTTCCTTCATCTTCCACTACCAGTTCTTCTTCTGTCACATCAACTAAGAAGATCTGCTTCTTATTAGCACATTTATGACCAGCAACATACTTCTCATCACAGAAGAAACACAAGCCTTTTGCTCTCTTCTCATCCATTTCAGCACTTGTAAGTCTTCTTCCCATGGGAGGTTTATTCAACCCCTCATTCTGGGTATTTCTGTTTGGGGGTATCTTATGATGATTTGCTGACTTCTGAAAACCTGGTGTAGGTAGAATCCTAGCCTGCTGTCTTCCACTAGTTCTCAATCCCCAAGACTTAGCCTGAGGTTCAAACACTTCCTCTTGCAACCTTGCTGCCTTGTACGCCTGCATCAACGTTTTAGGATTATGCATCCTCACAGCCTTGTTGATTTCTGGCTTTAGACCTCCAATAAAGCAACTAATGGCATTTTCTTTTGATAAATTGACAGTTGTCATCAATTTGTCAAAAGATGCTTGATACTCCTTAATAGTTCCTGTCTGATTTAGACTCTTCAGCTCCTCCATGGGATCTTCAAAGGTCTCTCCAAACCGTTCATTAAGAGCCAGCACATATTCTGTCGAAGTATATTCAGACAGATTGAGATGTTTTACATTGGCTCGGTGCCATGCTATAGCCTCACCTTCCAGGTGAATGGCTGCAACCTTCACTTTTTGCTCAGATGGAATATCCTCCATAGCAAAAATTTGATCCACCTTGTATAGCGAAGTTCTGAGTTCTTGACCTGAAAATTTAGGAAAATCCATCCTGAAGAATCTGGTAAAAGAACTTCCAGAGTGTGAGTTCTGTTGGAAGTTATCATGATGCCTGTTCATGTGAGTTGAGCTGATCTCATTCTCCCTGTTCATCGGCGATGAGTTGACATCCTTGTCCTTATCGCTTTTCTCCAGTTTTTCCAGGATTCCTTTGAGTTCCCCTAGCTCGTTGTCTGTTTGTGAGCTACGATCGTTGATGATAGTCATTCCTTCCATTAAATTTCTGCAATTGAAGTTGAATCTGTGCCAATTTGTCCTCCATATCTTCGTTTGCTGTTTCCGATGCTCTGGTTCTCGGCATTGATTGATTGGCCAAGAATCGATAGCTTTGATACCATTTGAAATGCTATTGCACAGAACGGTAGAAGCAAGAGATGACAGAAGGGGAGCCTGCTCTCTACCACCATTTTCTTCTTCTTTTTTCATTTTGTTATTTAGGGTTTCTAATGTCCCTAACCTTCTATTTTCCTAGATTAATCAGTGCAAAGCTTTTTTATTGGATTATTTGATTTCGCTTTTTTTTTTGTTCCTGCAGGTTAGTATATCTTTCTTTCCGTCAAAAGGGATTGGGGTATTCTAGCCCATGTTTCTCTTAGGTAAGCCTCTTTAATGCTTAACTGAAATGTGCAATTCGCAACTAGCGAATTTTGGATTTTCACTAAAGCTAATATTATTCATGGATGGGCAATGCTAGGGGTACACCAACATGGGGTACCCCAAGTGTACACCAAGCCAACACAGACACACACAGACATAAAATGTCTATGCAACACAGACACTTTGTGTCTGTGTGTGTCTGTGTTGGCTTGGTGTACACTTGGGGTACCCCATGTTGGTGTACCCCTAGCTTAATTCTTCATGGATGGATTCTAATATAAAATATTTCCCTTTGTATCTTCTAATGTTTGATGTTGGAGGTAACTTTTGGACAATAATATCATCTTCAACTTTGTTTAAAAACAACAATTGATAATTTTGTGATTTTATTTTGATTTCTCCGATTTTTAAGCACGTCTTTTAAAATATTATTTCTCATTTTTTTAAACTTTGCACATCCATGATAGATAAATTAACACCAGGAGAGAGTTGATAAATATCACAAATCTTGGTGATAATGATGTTGAGGAGTTTACTGAAGGAATCAATGAAACTAGGCCTTGCTATTATAACATATCCTCTATTTGTTTTGCTCCTTTTTTTTAAATTTTCTGTTTTGATTTTTATTTCAATCATTTATAAGTTCTTCTCTACATCTTAGTGGAGAGGAGAATGTACTTGCCGGTTTGAGTAATGTTAGATGAGTGATCAAAATGCAGATCTACCTACATACGAATGACATATGGATGACGTATTTGAACATTGGTAGTTTTTTTGAATAAAAATAATAAACTATAATTCCTTAGAATATCAATCTGGAACAACAGAATGTTGGGATCGTTAGAGATTTAGATGGGGGTTATTGTGGATTTTTTTCGTATGCTTTTATGTGCTTTTAGTATTTTTGGGCAAGGTAAGAATAATGATTGCTATTGCTAGACTATATACTCCCTGACTCCCTCTATCCTTGAAAAAAGGAGTTTAATTTGAAAAATGATTTTTTTTCAACAAACATCACATTTGAGCAAAATAAGCTACAATCTGTTATATTTAGCTCATATTTTTTTAGTAAACGTATTGCCTCAAACAAGTTTACCGGCCGTGTTACATTTAGCTAAACCAAAAACTAAATATGAAAATCATTGGTTGAAATCATTAGTATTTTTGAAACGCCAATGCCCTATTAAAAGTGAGGTGAGGTATATGTAGTTTTACACTATGTTTGGTTGTATGATTCAAGGAATTAAGAAGAAAAAGAAAATAAAATGACTTTCTCTCATTTTCCTCATCAAAATAAGAGAAATTTTGTTTTTCCTCTTAGATTATTGTCTTCTCATTTTTTTCATCACTTCTCTTTTCTTTCCTTCTCTAACCACACAAGATAAATTATTTTCCATTTCACTTTCTTTTCTTTTCTATTTTGAATTCCTTGAATCAAACATAGTCTTAAAGAAATTAATGATACAATGATGATGGAGTACTTAGTGCCTGTTTGGGAACAGCGTTAGCGATTAGCGTTAGCGTTTTGAAAAAGCTATCTACGGGCAGCGTTTAGCGTTAGCGTTTTCAAAGCGATCTGCACCGTTAAAATTTTATCCAAAACGCTAATGCTAATCTCTAACGCTATTCCCAAACAGGCCCTTAATTAGTTGATTAGAGTTCATAAAGGATCCATCTGAAACACATGAAGTATACATTATGCCTGTTTTTCATCATGCATGGTGTTGGTAACCTTTTTTAAGTTTGAAACTTATTTATTTTGTTTTGTTTCCATTGCATTCGGCATCTTTTTCCTTCACTCAAGCCTTTGTCTTTGCCTTTCATTTCCTTTTTGGGGATTCAGATGTGACAGTATTTTGGTGGCTTCCGTCTAGGGGAACCCGATGTTGGGCTTAAGAAGACAAACTTCAACTATGGGCGGCCAAACTTTGAGCATGGGTTGTGGTCTTGTGGATGACTTCTTATAGGTATTAATCTCATGCCATTTTCTAAATAAAATGCATTTAGGATTGTGGAAGGATTTGAAATGAGTATGAGTTTAGAAAATTTATGTGAAAGGTTTAGGTATAACCATTTAAGATGAAAATTTCGTTTCACCTAAATATATATACAATATTTCCTCAGGTCCGTTCAATGCCTAAAAGAAAGTTCTCTTTTTTTCAACATTAAACCTCAAAAAAGAAGGATGATCTCCTAATTAAAGAAGATATCCTCTTATGTGAGGTAAAAATTTAATAAACAATAGCTTTGATTTCTAATATAAAAAATTTGTTTTGCCTTGGTGTAGGACCTCAGACACTACCAACTCTTCTAAAATCAATTAGTGTTAGAAGAGGTGCATACCCTAGCCTTATAGTGCTTTCAACACACAAGCGCCCACGATATTCAATTGTGACTTGGCCCATATAGCCTCCGCCACGGGACAATTGCTGCACACATGGCCAACAATCTCCCCCTCACCAATTGCTCCTGCTGAGAATCGAACTCGTAACCTTGGCTCTGATACCACTTTTAGGACCTTAGGCGATACCAACTCTTCTAAAACCAATTGGTGTTAGAAGAGGCGCATACCCTAGCCTTATAGTGCATTCAACACACAAGCGCCCACGACATTCGATTGTGATTGGCCCACTTAGCCTCCGCCACGGGACAATTGCTGCACACATGGCCAACACTTGGGAAGTGAAGTACTTAAGTTTTCATGTTGTAGATTGTAGTTGGATTGTGATGTCCATAATTTTTGCAGATTGCACTTCAGTATGGAAGCTAAGACAGAGCTTTTGAAGTTGAAGAGTTAATGGATGTTGGAATTTCCAAAGCTCCATGGAGGATCATGGTTTTCTTAGAGTATCCTTGGGTCTGTTTTCAACATCTTTATTAACCAAGTTGACTCTCTACCTTTTAAACTAGATTGTTAAATAGCTTTTGCATCTCTGTGATTACTCTTTGATTTTCTTTTGTGTATTTGAGTCTTAGCCTAGGACTAAGGCAACTATACTATCTGAGAGCTTTGATTTTGGATATTCTCTTCAGGTTTGCTCTTTAATGTTTTTGTCCAACAC